CTAGAACAATACAGAAACAAATTCAGACAGAACCAGTTTTTAAGTAAATATTGTATGGCATGTACATTACAGAGCATTTAATAGGACAGTGCTGTGGTTTAACCCCAGCTGGCAACTAAGCACCACACAGCTGCTTGCTCACTCCCCTCCCAGTGGGATGGGGAGAGAATTGGAACAGTAGAAGTGAGACAACCCATGGGCTGAGATAAAGACAGATTAATAGGTAAAGCAAAAGCCACACACGCAAGCAAAGCAAAACCAGGAATTCCTTCCCCACTTCCCATGGGCAGGCAGGTGTTCAGCCATCTCTGGGAAAGCAGGGCTCCATCACGCCTAACGGTGACTTGGGAAGACAAACGCCATCACTCTGAACGTCCCCCCCTTCCTTCTTCTTCCCCCAGCTTTATCTGCTGAGCATGACATCGTATGGTCTGGGATATCCCTCTGGTCAGTTTGGGTCAGCTGTCCCGGCTGTGTCCCCTCCCAACTCCTCATGCCCCCCCAGCCTCCTCGCTGGTGGGGTGGGGTGAGAAGCAGAAAAGGCCTTGGCTCTGGGTAAGCACTGCTCAGCAATAATGAAAACATCCCTGTGTTATCAACAGTTTCCAGCACACATCCAAAACATAGCCCCATACTAGCTAGTATGAAGAAAATTAACTCTATCCCAGCTGAAACCAGCACAGACAGAGAGGAGGTTTTTACAAGCAAGTCAGGGAAATTACAAGGTGGAAGTAATTTAGGCTGTGGTTCCATGGCAGCCTAAAGCCAATCTAACTGCTGGCTCTTTCACTCCCATCATTCCTCTCAGCCCTGTTGGGAGCTCTCAACCTCTCCATTTCACCCCCGTAGCACTCATTTGACCTTTTGTGAAGCCATCTCAGCATACTAACCAGGCAGAACACCAAAACAGCAGCTCTCGAGAACATTAAGGAGCTTTCTGATGCACTGATAAATTGAAATGATTCAGGTGAGGCTGTGAGGCACACTAGAATCAATGCAACAGAGGCACCAAGGATCAGCAACCAGCTGTTACATTGACCAAGGCTGGTGCAGAATCCCAGTCTTTGCACATTTATTAGCTGATCAACAGGGAATACTGCTGCAGTGGTTAAGAAGCTATTTGCAAAGCAGCTGTTTGCTCTGTTAAAAACATGGTTGGTTATTTGCATATTTAAATATAGTCCCATGTTATGTGGGTCTGCTGTGTGACCAACACAGAGACAGTTTGCCTGTGGGCACAAATGAAAAATCCCTGGTGAATCCTGTTTATTTCTTTGGTTACTGCCCTCAGCCACATGGTAGCACTGCCACAGCAAATGTGTTTAAAAAAAACTAAATAAAACCAACCCCAACCATCAATCACTCACTGAAAAGGTCAGGTTCCCTCCTGCCCCAAAATTTAAAAGGTATCTTTTATGGCAATTTAAAGTAAGACATTGACTTTCACACGGACATGTCCGAGACATTATTAGTTCATCGTCCTGCCTGCCGACTCCTTAGAGGAGCAGATGCCTTTGGGAGGTAACATCTTTAAGCCACACACAGAGTTTGCCAGAGCTCATTTGTCAGTGCCCTGAGGCAAGCCTTTCATCTTTTTGCCACATAATGATAGCAGAACTGTATTATAGATGGCTGTATTTACATGCATGAGTGATCCAGTCAAAATATGTATTTTTGCTAGCCAATAAGAATAGCAAATTCTCATTTGCTCACTACCAGCCAGCAAAGCCATTCAGGAGGTGTCCAGAAAACTCAACCCCATCTCCAAGAAACCAGTCTTTGAAATCTTGCTGTAAACACATGCCTATACTCAGGAAGATTCTGCTCAGTAGAAGCAGAACAATGCAGATTGGAAGTGGTATCTGTTCATAAAAGGACTAGACAAAAAAATGAAACCAACACGCAAACATGACTTCAAAGGAAAGAAAAACCCCAATCTCTCCCACACCTCTCGATAAGACTAATGTTTTAAGTTCTAACAAAATGACTAAGAATCGCCACAAAAAAGGGGACAGAAGAATGTGATCCCTAAATCAAAACTTGCTACAAAAACAAAGCAAAACATCCTCAGAGCTGGTCTTGATTTAAATAGAAAACACTTTCATAAATACCAACACCACAGTTTAACGGAAACACTATACTCTTAGTTTCATAATACCAACATTCACAACACCTAGGAACTGTCTGTATGGGGAGTACTAATGGGCTGAGCACACTGGTTCTTGCTGGAAGAGTGGGCATTTTCAGAGAAGAGCACTCAGAGATGGCACTCATGACTTAAGACGTTTTTAGAATGGCAGAAAGTAATTGCGTTCCCATCACAGGACTCTGAGTACACACACCTATAACTAACTTCAGCACAGTATAAGAAAATAAGCACATACCTTCACCAGAAACAAAGACTACATTCAACAATAGGGCCTGTACTTGCATGAAGGCAGTTAACTCTGCTATCACAGCGTTACCATGTTTTTATTGGCTCGGTTCCCAGAGACTTCAGTTTTACATGGTCCAGTTTAAGCCCACATTCTCCTGAGAGCATTTAGTCTGTTAGAACAGTTACAGGACCTACACAAGGTTGCATAATAAGCAGGGTGCAGCAAACTACCGTGCCCTGTACTCTGCTGAATAAGTAATCTGTTTCTAAAATACCGTAGCATCATTCTTATCTCAAACCCAACATTTCTACAGATTAAAAAGCCCACATCTGCCTTCAGTGCATAGTAATTCAAAATAAATACTTCAGCCCAGCATAGAGGTGGGGAGGTTTATCTGGAAGCCAGTCTAAAGACTCTACTTATTGTAAAAGTAATAAGAGATGAAAGGCATGTTTTTGTCATCCACAGCAACAAAGACAATTCAACTCTTGCTTGTATTTGAATACCAGTCCTTGGACTCTCAAAGCCTTTGTAAAAGATAAAATCTTTATAAACAAACAGTTGCATTATCCTGACTCCTGAGTCACACAGCATCTACCTTTAAAGTGGTATCAGCTTTTCAGAACAGACACCCCCATGTCTTGAAAAGCAAATCACTTAAGCAAAAAAAATAGATGTAGTTCTTTATAGACTAGTTTCCTTTAAAAAGCTGGGAGAGAACTTTCTTAAAGAATCTTCTCAAGAAGACTCCTTAGATATGCTTGACCAAACCAGCTTTGTTTCAGTCAATTAGATTTAAAAGTTACCTCAGCACAGAGCATTGTACAAAGAACAGTATTGTTTTCAGCTGAGCTCCTACTCCCTAAGGTCACCCACTAATGCTCAGACTCTTGAAGGAAATGGGACTTGTGCAGAATCTGCAGTCTACATGAGAATAAGTTATACCCCACCTATTTGCTATATATTAATTTTTCCACTCTAGATCTCAAACTTAATATGTGGTTACAGTATCATTTCTGTGTTATAATTTTATCTTCCCCTAAGCCAGGAACAGAAGTGAAAAAAGCACAGGTGCATTGGGGGACAACAGTATGTTACCATCCTTAATTAAGATGACTGAAGTGGGAAGGTTTGTTCTGCCTATAGCAAGAGGGCTAACTCACCTTCCAGATGATGTAATCCTTTAAGATCAGCCTATGGTAATAAGTGATCATCTAAGTCTTACTGACTGCATCTGGCAGAAACCAGGGTTTCTTCGCATTTATTACACCAAAATGTTGAATATTACCCACTTCTATACTGCAGGAAGGAACTTACCAAGATGAAATATAATTATTTTGACAAGTAAAACATTTTTAAAAGCACCTGCTTGGCTTCAGTTGCATTTCCCATTTGACAGACTCAGGCACCAAAGCATCCAATTTTCCAGAATAAATCTGTCACTCCTAAAATGTTAGGTCAGGATTTTAGTGGAAACAAAGGCCTCTTTCATAAGGACCTCTAAAATGAAGACCTGTGACCAAAATTCTCACTTCTACAGGTAATTTAAGGATCTTCCTGTAATCCAGAATATACTTACAGAATGGGCTACATACAGAGAAGCTCAGGCTTAAAACCTGAAGGAAAACAGAAGTGATGTAGTTGCACATAAAAAGAGAGCTCACACACAAAGCTGAACTGCTGTGCACAAAGGAAGAACTGAAATAAAGACACTCAAGAATCCAGGAAGTGAGAACACCAGAAAAACAGAATAAATTCCATTGGTAAACGAATCCAATTTCTTTGTGCAATAACAAGACCCATATTCTCTGTTAAACTATTCTCACAAAACAATTACTGAAGGTAACTAACGTGCATCAACAAAACCAGCTATAGCAAGAGAAAAAGTCCTTTTCTTTTAATCGTTCCACTTCTCCTGCAAAGAAGGTTACCTGTCTATAACCGCAGATTGCCTGTCTGCTCCTGTGCTGCCTCTTTGCAGCCTGTAATTGGCACAAACTCCTAGCTGGTGATCAGAAGCATTTGCTGACATGCTGGGCTACCAAATTCACTGCTTCACAGGCAATGCGTTCAATCATCCCTTTGGTGCAGCAGCCATATTAAGCGGATTTCCTCATCACATACCAGTGGACATGTTCAAGTAGTTGGCAATATGATGGACTTACTCATTGAAAGTTTATTAGGAAAGTGATCAGTGTACATATGCACACATGCACACTCTCAGCAAATAAGCACAAAAAAGCAGACCTTTGAGTTCAAAGCTTTTCTACCACCCCATGAACACAGTACTGAAGCTGCTGAAAATTTCAGGACAAAGGCAAAAGTTAAGCAGTAGCTTTATCAGTATTCTTGTGTATTATGACTGTACAGAACTGCACTAGTTTTTCTGCGAGTATATGGAGAACAAGCTTAACACCACATACTCTTATGAAAGTAGCATCAATATTTCCTTATGGTTTTACAGAAAAAATTTCTGAATTTAGAAAACTAGAAATCCATTTCCCTGCCTCTCTTGCTTGACAACTGCTACTCTAATATATAGTACTGTAATTGCTCCCCTCTGCTAGGTAACAGTCCCCTCCCTAAATTATATATGCTTAAGTATATAGCTTAAGCCTTTCAGCCACTTGGTACACAAAGGTTCTGTCTACAGCCTTCTATTTTTATTTTTGTCCTCCGTGCACAATACCTCCAAGCAAATACCACTCAAGCCTTTCTGTACCTCAGATCACAGAAGACATTTACATGCAAAACAATCTATAAGATGTCCAAAAATTACACTAAAATAGCTGCAGCCTTTTCACCTGCTAATTTAACAGCTTAAACCTTCACTTGTATGACTTTGTGTAGCAACCATTCATACTGCAGAACAATGCTTTAGACAAAAATGGCTTAACTACTTAGTATACTATATTGCAAATATTAAGAAAATAATTCAGAGTATCAAGGAAAATTTTCAGCGTTACTAGAATCTTATTAAACTATGAACAAAGTTTAGCCTTCTCTCTGGATTTATTTGTATTTCAAAAGCCAATACAAAAAGAAAAGCATTATATACGTACCAGTCCAGTCACTCCTGCAGACTATAATTTGAGTAGTAACTGGGAATTTAGCACTGCAGGATTTTCCAACAATATGCAACATTATATGTTCAACTGAGAGGGTACTCTAATGCAATATTCAAGCCTGAGGTTTTTTTCCGAGCCTTTGGCAAATGTGGGAACTCCACTGCTTCCGAGTAGCTCAATTCTTTTTATGTAAGTTACAGCAGGTAGCTATTTAAGTAGATTATTTTGTTATATTTAAATGCCACTACAGACAAGTCTCTCTAAGGTTCTGCTTTACTGTCATGGCTTGGTTTAACCCAAAACATTAGTCCTGGAAAAGCCTAGCTATACCAATAGCATAATTACATTAAAATATTCACCTGGTTTTAAGTATGCAAGATCTAGTCAAAGCAAGTATCAATTTCAGCTACTGGTTTTTCAAGCAAAAAGCCTTTTCAAAAGACAATTAAGGCTTCCATCACCCTACCAGAGGTAACAATGAGAAACAAGTCTAAGCCACAGGAGCATTGGTCTATTTTTGACAGTGGTATTTAAGTGTTTATTAAGCTGGTTTTCATCCATTTATTTATTTGGCTGACATCCATCTGCCACATGTAACATTTGAAAATGCACAGTTAGCAAGCTGCTAAAATAAGGAATCTGGATAGCGTTTGGTTGCATTTTTTCTGTTAACATAATAGGCAAGAGCTTCTAGAATTTGTCTTGCTGATGTACTTCAACCCTGCCTGAAGCAAGGGTGGGAAAAGCTCCCCTGCTAGTATAAAATAGGTCAAGTATGGAAAAATGCCACTGACTTTTTTTAATAACAGTATTTGCATAAGCAGAAAATAAACTCCCAGTTTTTCACTGATCTCTAGCAATATTCAAGCAAAGTTTTACTTTAATTTTTAAAATACAGAAGTTTAATTATTCAGCCAATGTAACAGTTCTACAAACTGCATCACAGATGTTGCACAGCTTATGACCAAGATCAATACTAAAAGCTAAAATCTTGCTAGTGACTGCTAATACAAATTGGCAATTTTAACATTTCAGCTCTGAAAACATCCATTCTTCTACACCACACTGATGTATATCATTTATGTAAATATTATTAGATCTAGTCATCATGCTACAGTATTAGTCTTGTTAATAAACCTTCTCACTGTGGGAGTACATCAGCATAAGGTATGAACACAATGAAATCTATATTAAATTTTATAGTAACTTTCCAGAAATATGCTTGTGGCCCATCAAATTCACACTAAAGTTCTGTAGATGTAAAACATTTACTTGTCTTCTTAGCATACCTAGTGTGTAAGAATAGTTTTCTTGTTTGATTCCCAAAAATAAATAAGCTTTCAATTGAAAGCATTTATTTTCCTAGTTTTCCAAAGCGGAATCTGGGGGGGGAAAAAAGCTTCAGACTTGTCATCGGTCCACTTCAGTACACAAAAGCATCTCCTGTCCCAGTATTCGTTCAAATCCAAGAGATATTTTCTTCCAGTGAAATATGACTGGAGCACTCGTTTTATTTTCAGCAATTCAGTCTGTTTCCATGGCAGCACTGCGGGATTCCTTAGCCACCATGAGTCGCATTAGCTGACTCTGGAATTTCTCAATCTTCTTTACGTCTTGCGCCTGGTCTGTTCTATACAGCAAACACTGTAAGAGAAAGTTGCTTAACATCAGATTTCGCTTGAACTGTTTTTATCCTGTTTATAGTTGCAGCAAATTTGTGCTTGGAACACACAAAACAAAGTAAGTATTTAAACATTCATTTGTGGCATGTTGTTACCATGGGACAGCACCAACACCTATCTACCTTGTTTTAAAATACACACACATCTGTGTTTACATTTAAGTTTCTCTGAAAGGCTCATGTCTTCCATTTTGAACACAGGAAAGCTTATGATTTATCCTCTCAAAAAAGATGCTAAAACTTGGGGTTTAAAGCTGTCTTCAGAGACACTCCTGTTTGTGTTGTCTAAAAACAGAAACAGATTTTAAACCTGAAATTACTTTCCTATTCTCTATATTCTGAAAGTAAGTTTATTTTGCCTTTCACAGTCCTTAATGTTACACTGCCAGTGACATAAAATCAGTTCAGCATTTCCCACTGAAGGGGATCCCCTCTCCCAAGCAAAATCTGTTTCTAAGACAGTCCTAAATAAGGAACATCGCATCTGATTAAGATAAAAAGGAACTCCCTCATGTGACAAGCCTGTAAATGCAAAAGGAACAAGAGTAATATGCCAGTGACTTGTCTCAGAAAGACCACTTAGGTTTTTGTGGGTTTTTCTTTTCCAGACTAAGTAATTCCTTACACCTGTACAGCATGAGTATAACTGCCCAGGCTGATTTAACAATGAAAAAACCCAGAATGCTCCATTCTTCAGTGCTGTCAACACAGCAACTTTTGCCAGCGTTAAATTCCTATTTTAATTCAGAGACAAACAGTAGAAAACAGATCTTTTTTTCCTTTAGCTATATTAGTTCTACAGATTGAGCATCAAGGAAAACTTCCCTTCCTGCCTTTAGGAAAAAAAACAACCAAAACACCAAAACCCAAAATGAAACCAATCCCCTGCCCCGCCACCAGTGTAACAGCTTTCTGTGACTGGAAGCAGGTAAGAAGGCCTGTAACTGAAAAGAGTTCACATTCATGAATCACCTGACTCCAACTTTCCCTATGGAAGATTTCAACTAAATTGCCCTTCACCTCCCCCTGTTATCACTGCTCCATACTCAACATCTCACCCATGTTAAGCCCTATTATCCTATCAGGAAGTGCCATTATTGGAGTTTCACATCTCTCCCGGGTACTGGAAATACCAATGCCAGACTACTCTTCCTGGAAAAGAAGAAATCTGATTTTTTTCCAAGTCTGAAGACAAGAGAAGGGCAGACTACTGTTGCTTACTCTGGACTGCAGAAAAACAGCAACTTGGTTATAACATCACTAGCACCAAGAACCTGCTGCTGGTGTGCAGATCAGCATGCATACGCTGATGCATGCTGACGCATTTCTACCTGCTGCCCACCACCTCGCATCCTAACCCCTCCACAGAGTTGAACCACAGGTCAATGTCAGTCACAGACACAACAGCTAGGGAAGGCTGAACACAAGTTTTCAGAAAACTGTTAGGCACTCTCAAGGCAATGGCTAAGAGCTCCCAAGTTGACTGACAGCAAAATGCAAGTCCATGAGAGGTACAATAAGCCCTGAAAGGGGAATATATTCTGTACTTACAGCCACATCATCCGTTACTTTGATACAGAGGTTCCCATCACAATGTCGATATTTGAGAACAACCCGCACCTGAAATGACAAACATTTTAAGAATTAACATCTATAGCTAACAATTCTCAGAACACATCTGAAGGAAATCTGCCCAAATTCAGACTACTTTTCATTATAATTATGTACTGCTTCACATTTTCACCACCTTTGTGGTGGTCCTCAGCTCTGGTGGCCACTAATCCAACAGCCAGGATGGTGTGGAAGTTAAGTTCTCAAACCTGGTGTGGAAGTTGAACCATCACATTTCCCTGCTTAACATATTAAACTGGTACTACAGCAACATCAAACAGCTTAACATTGCTGTATTTACAGTGGTTTTGAACATGCCCAAGGACCGTTGCAGAGACATCAGTGACAGGTAAGATAAACTACGAGAGTCATGTCAATACAAGACACCCCCTCACCATTTATCACACTTCAGAAAAACTAACTGGAAGCTTGTGCTTATAATCTTGAAACACTTAAAGAAAAAAATAATTCTACATGAAGACTTGAAAGGGATTGAGTGGGTCGGCTCAACGTTACTACTTTTTCTTCTACAGTACCTAAACTATTATGTAAAAGTCGTCATATTTCCAGTCACTACAGTTGTTTCAATAGCTGCACTGCAGCCTGCAGACAGATTTGGTGTTCTGATGTTTTTGCAAGTGGAAAGGGAAGATACAAAGAGTAACACTTTCAGAGTAATTAAAATCAGAGGACTGAATAGAGTTCTTCTAAATTAAATTGCTTTCAAGACTCAAAAAGGCTAAATTTGAAGACTGAAAGCAAGCATTCAACTTCTCACTAAAACAGTTCCTACTGTAGTCACCTGCCCTGAGCTTTAACCTATCCACAGTCCCTCTGGACTCTCAAATCACCAAAGTTCTCAAAGGCACAGTGATAAAAATCACATCCTCAGCAACTGACCGAGCATTAAATGCTTCCTCCTGAATGCAGAGCTGGCCACAGGGACTTTGTATCTATTGTTTCTAGCCTCAGCTAGCATCAGTAACTAGAAACAAAGCAAGGTGTCCTTCTGAGAACATTCTGAACTTGCACCATAAACAGGTCTTTGTTGTACAGTCACCTGTGCTAATGGTCAACAACCTCCTTGACTACAAAATATATTTTGAAATTCCTGCTCCAAGATGGATCTCATGACAGATTTACCCTTCTTGTTTAACAAACAGTCATCTTCTAACCACAACAGCTATGTAACTGTACATCTCTCAGCTGAGAAGGCCCAAAAGCACAGGAAAGGCTGCCACAAGCAGCAGGCATAGACTCAATAGATAACTAGCTCCCGCAAAAGGCAAGACCACTCACTACCTAGCCTCACCAGCCCACAAAGAACGCACACCCATCTCCCACAATTCTTATTCTTCCTTCAGTTTCCAGACAAGCCCAGTTACATACAAAAGTGCCTCAAGCTAGTTCTCTGGCAAATTAGAAGAAGGGTACTTGTGTTGCGACTCTGACACCCATATAAACTCCTTCATAAATAGACAAGTTTATTGCCATGGATAGGAAGAGATTGCCTTTGGATACCCCTTAAGAAAAGGGGAAGAGCAACTCCTGGCTGCACTGACATCCCTCCTCTTTTATTTAATTGAGCGTTACAGAACATAAGAAGGTAAACCAGGACAATTTTATTATCAGTAGACAGGTGGCAATTGTACACGAAGGGGTCACCTATGCTAATTAAAGGCAGATGTTAAACACTACTTCAGAAGGTTCCTCCACATCCTCTGTTTTTGGTGAGGAAAACTAGGCCTTTTTTAATGAAGTTCTCAGGCATATGAGCTCCATGTTACCTTCTGTGCTGCTTTTTGGCTGAATTATAACGCTTTTTCTGAAGACTGAAATGACTTTTAACATTTGCACAAAATATACTCCTGAAAAAGTTACCAAAACCAAAAAGCAGTCATGTACCAAGAAGTTAGTTCCTAGAGCAATTACTATTTAGGAAGCAAACACCTTCCAGGCTGAAACATCACTGCAGGCAACAATGCAACATAAGAGCTTTCTTTTAATTTTTTTAGGATGACAAATGATGCACTCTTAGATGTTGTAGACTCATAAAATAAACAAATTGTTGATACACTCTTTGTTCAGCAGAACTCTTAAATCCCCGTTTCTAATGTACAGGTACACTGTAAAGCAGCACAACGTCTCTCAAGTTCGGTTCTCCAGGTTCGCACCTGTGGCTGGTAACAACACCCAAAACACCATCCCCTATGGACGTTTTTGGGGTGTTAAATGAGAATTTCCTCCTGCTCCGTGGGAAAACCAGGCCAGGTGCGACAGCAGCGAGTAACCCCCTTCCCTGCTGCTGCTTCTTGCCTCCCCCGTGCAGGCCACTGCAACTACGCCTCGAAAATCCCTTCCAACCGGTTACCGCCGGCCGCCCCCGCCGGTTCGGCAGCGCTGCTCCCGGCGCCTGCGGCACAGCTACAGTCCCTGGGAGACGCCGCGGCGGGCTCCGGCGAGGGCGGCCCGCCGGGTCTCAGAGGACCGTCTGCCTCCCCGGAGGGCCAGAGGACACGGAGCGAAGGCGCCGGAGCCGCCAAGCCGCCCCCGCACGGCGCCCACCGCCTCACGCCACAGCCGCTCCTCCCCGGGCCTACCGCGGGCGGCGGGAGCCTCTCCGTCCCGCCCGCCCGGCCTCTCGGCTCGGCCTGGCCCGGCTCCCACCCCACCTTCATGGGGTCGGCGAGGTAGAGCTTCTCGGCAGCGCGCGTGAACTCCTCCCAGGCCTGGTAGTGCGGCATGGCGGGGCCGGGCCGGGCCGGACCGGCGTGCTCCTCCGCTCCTCCCGCCGCCGGCAAGATGGCGCTGAAGGCGGGCGGGCGTCACTGCAAGCCGACACCTCCCATTGGTCGGCGGGAAACTGTCGCCCAATCGCGAAGCGCATGACTCGGAGATTCCGGGCCCGCCGGCGGAGCTCGGCCGACGGGCCCAGAGAGGGCAGGCCGGCGGGCGGCGCGGGCGCCACAGCGACCCCCCCAGGCGCGGGGGGGGACCGGCACGCCC